ATTGTATTTGCCCTTTAAATTTTTTATTTTGAGACAGAGTCTTGCTAGGTTTCCCAGGCTGTTCGAAACTTCTGGTCATTCTACTTCAGCCTCCCAGTTAGCTAGGATTGTAGGTGTGCAATCACATACCCTTTTTGGTACAACATCTATTCATTTACAATTTAAGTGTGTTGTGTACATTTTAAAACATTCTTTCTGTGTAGTTCAGACTGGCCTTAAACTCGCTATGTGACCCAGGCTGGCCTTCAGCTCACAGCAATACTCCTGCTTCAGCCTCCTGAGTAATAATTGGATTATAAGCTTTTGCCACCATGCCTGCTACATAACACATTCTTTTTTTGTGTAGGGGGAGAGGGGATACCAGGAATCGAACTCAGGGCCTTGCATTTTCCAGGCAGGTACTGTGCTACTGAGCTACACTCCTGGCCCCATAACACATTGTGGTTTTTTGTTTGTTTGTTTGTTTTTGTTTTTGGACTGGGGATTGAACTCTGTACCTTGCATTTGCGAGACAGGCAGTGGAACCACTGAGCTAAATCCCAGGCCCCCATAACACATTCTTAACTGAATTCTCAAAGAATGAGAAAGAAATTTTAAAGTAAATAAAAATTTTAAATGTTTTTGTCCTGCACTTCAGTGACTGATTGTTACTTTCTTGACTGTTGGGGGCTCAGAGCATCCTGGGGAGGGAATATGTAAAATGGCTGTGTCTTATATGGTGAGAATCCCTGGGGGGCACCCCTCGGAACTCACTTCTAGCCAGGTGGTGGAACAGCACAGTGTGCTCAATCAGAACAGCCCCCGTGGAGACTCTGTGGCCTTGAACAGCAGTCCTGCTCTTATACCTGCTGTTGCTTCTCCATACATCCTGTCCCAGATGGGACAAGAGTCCCAGAGCCCCCAAGTGTGCAGTGCCCACATCTAGATTCAGTAGCAACCTAGACTTGAGGATTCTAGAGCCACTGGCCAGCAAGTGCACTGATCAACTGACTATAGTGTTTGAATTCAGTTCTGAAACAGTGGTTGGTGTGTGGAGAAAATATAATAACTTGTCCTCCAAAGTAGTCATTTTTCCCCCTAGAAAATAACATTTAAAAGCCTCCTGTTGGCAGGAACAGTGTGATTATAAAGACATTAGAGTAAGTCTATAAAACTGAGATGATGTTCTATAGATGCTGTTAATCTAGTAGTGGGAAAACAGTGATGTTAGTATTGATTGAGCTAAACACTTCACATGTATTTGTCCATTCCATTTTCTCAAAGCCCTGTCAGTATTGGAGCTGTGAATCCATTTCAGCAGGTGTTTGAGTGCTTACTTGATGATGGTGCTGTGAGGATGCAGAGTACCAAAATACAGCCAAGGTCTCTGTGTGCGCAGCAGTTCACAGTGTAGGGAGAGCCAGACATGCCCCAGGGAACCGCATATAGCACTCCTAACTGGTGGCTAAGCAAGCTGTCCCATGTTACCGAGCTGCAGAGTTGTGATGGGGTTTTTGAGAAATGCTCTAAGAGGAAGGAACTGTTGGGCTGAGACAGATGCTGTGGACAACTTTGGAGGGAGTATTGGACAGTCCAGTTTTGGGCTATTGATGTGGACTTTTCTCTTCCCAGATAGATCATAAAACTTCTGGAGGGCAAGCTTTCTTCATTTCTATGTGTCTCCTTATCTTCCTAGTGCAAAGTAAGTTCCAAAAGTATGAGCTGACAACTATTAGTACATGAATGAATGGATAAGAGGTGTGTAGTTAGATATCACACTTTCCCTGATTGTTTCCAAGAAGTCAGTCAACAAATATTTGTGGAAAATATCTTATGTGCAGAACATATTAGGAGCCATGGCATTAGAAATTAAGAACAAATTAACAAAAGCATTATAAATTAAGAACAAAATAAGCTTGGAATCCGATCTGTAGAGGGCATTGAATAGAACACTCAAGAGCAGGTTGAACAAGCAAGTATACCATGTCTGGGGTACCCATCCTTCCCACTCCTTATCTGTGTGGTAGATTAGGTCAGGCTTCCTAAGAATGTGCTGCACTGCTTGGCGTGGCAGTCTGCAGACAGAAGGCAGAGGCTTGTGAGTGGGCCTTGAAAGCCATCTGAACACCAGCGGAACGCCAGCCCTGGTTGCAGAGAAATACAGCTAGTGCAGTGGAGATTGGCTGATGTGACTTAATCTCTAACCGCATCATACAGAAATAGGATTTGGGTGAATGATTGAATGTGTGCATCAACCTCAGTCTTTATCCCCTACCTCTTTGCTCCTGCAGTAGTTGTTGGAAGTTAAAGAGCAGAATATTTCAGAGCCCCACCAGTCACGGGCAGCTGTGATGCAGTGTCCTGTGTTGGTATCACTTGTTCAATTTGTGCTGCATCCAACAGACAAGACACAAATATCAGTGCTAGTGGCACGTATTTTCACAAGAGTCACCTCCAAATCACACCCCTTCAGAAATCATAGCTTCTTTAATGTTCCACTGGCTGTGTGAAAAAACAGGAATTTATGTAACAAGCCCTGCACAGCAAACCTTTTCCTGTTCGGAAAAAATTTTTTTAATTGTTGGCAAAGGCAGTAGACAGCTCTGTTACTCAGTGACCTGAAATGTCCTCTTACAAAAATATGTAGTATGAAGTTTTGATACGTAAGGGGTTGCTGTAGTAAAATAGAAAAATATCTTAAGTAGTTAGTGTATGTCCCACTTGAGTTAGTGAATCTTCTTGAAGATTTCATCATTATGTCTTCTGTAGTCTTGTTAAAAATGCCCCAGTTGCACTTGCCAGTGTGTCTGACAGAACTATCTTGGTGTTATAGAGCAGCGCCCCTCCACCCAAGTCAGTGCAGACAACCAGGATGCTGCTATCTGAGAAGATCATTCTCCCACCTTATTAACTAAATGTGACAGGAACAAAAGTCAAGCTTCCTTTCCTCCAGAGGTTTCACTGGAGCTTATCTGTGTGTCTGCTGTGTCCAAAGAACAAAGCTGTCATGATGGAATAGTGTGTAAATGCCCAGACTTCTAGTGTGTGGACAAGTCCCAGGGTGCAGTGCTTGGCTACACTCCAGTGCGTGCTGCCCCACACAGGCTGCTGCTTCTAGGGGGAGTGGAGAACTTGGGTTACTTGTGTTGGTGCGCACAACACACGAGGCCATGGCTCTGTGAACATGCATGTGTGCATGCATGTGTTAGTGCCTTCCCATGGCATTTTGGGAATCTTTGGAATGAAATAGGATATGAGAGAAATTCATTCCTTGGCTACTTTGGAGGTTCTTACATGGACCATATCCTTCTCACAGCCTGTCTTGAGTTGGATATAGATCATAAGAGGGTTGTCTTAGAAACCGGAGACCCCTGCTGCCATGTGCCTGCACACCTGCTCAGCATCCTGCTGGAGACTCCTGTTTGGCCCTGTCTGACCTGCACTCTGCCTGGCAGAAGGGCTCATCACATAGCTAGTGTGTTGTAATCCTTGGGCAGAATGTAGTACAAAGGGTCAGAAGGCATTTTGAAATGTTGATCTCTTAGCTCTGTTGGGCTTCCTCCTGACTTTTCTATCGCCTTTTAGAAAGTGAGAGCTCCATACTCCTTTTCTATTTTCTACCTCCTTTCAGTAAGAAAAGATGTGAACTCAGTGATATGGAGAGACCCAGTCCAGACCTGCTGTACAGATTGTGCTCTGGCACAGAGGTTGGCATCTTTGTCCCATGAGAACAGCACGAGGATGTGGGCATTGTGGCTGCCTCCTTAAGTGGCCACAGATGGAACCAGAGTTTTTTTGTGGTCCAGGAGAGGGGCTGCAGAGAAGCAGAATTCTTGGTTAGCTGAGCCCTATGCTGAATTGGCAAAGAAGGCCAGAACAATCTGGGAGCTGTGCAAACAGCTCCTTTGCCAGTGGTCTAAGGTCCCCAGAATCTTGCTTCCAGACATAATGAGGCTGCTGAATGACTGGGTAGTGACTTTGCCTCATGCAAAAGCTAGTAAGATAGATTCTTCCTTCTTAGGAGCTCAGATTGTTTCCCACTTCTTTCCCAGCCATTTTCCACAGACTCAACCATATGTCAGATGTCAGGCTGTGTGTTGAATAGGAGAAGCACATGTGAGCTTCTTCTCTGCAGCTGAACCCTGAGAGTCTGTGGCCTACTTTCCCGTATATTTGTAATTGTGGATTTTTATGTATAATATCACTATACTACTACCCATACCCCCACTGAATTGGAATATAAAAGCATACCTTAGAATTATGTTCTCCACCCCTATTTCCCCTCTGTAGTTGTCTTTTTGGATGAAGTGTAACCCTTGATGCAATGTCATAGAGTTGGTATACTTCTGGTTATTTGGGTAAAAGGGTGCTACTTGAATTTAAATTGAGTTTTTTTTTTTTGGCTGATTAACTTTCAGATAAAAAAATAATTTCATATTATGTTCCATATTTGTCTATCCATTAGCAATTATCCGTTATACCTTTAAAGGTATAAATGAATATAGATCTTTCTAGTTTTCAGGTTTTTAATTGTTAGGAATATATCTGGCTTCATCTTTTTTCCCATAATCATGTGGGTCCAGTGATATAAAACATCTCACTTTGTGTAAATGGCATATGTTTCCTCTGAAGAGACTTGGGAGTTTTAGGAATAGTGGAGTGGAAAAGATTTTTGATGGCACTTCAATATAGATTCCTATTTGCATAGCATTGTGGCTGAACAAAACTTAGGTAATTTATAAGACAGATCCTGTAATCTTCCCATAAAACATAATTGTATAAAAGAAGATATTTCTGATCATGATTACTTAACTTAAAGATGGGTACTATTTTTAAATGATGGTACTGTTTTTCATACGTCAGTTTGAAATTTTTTTGTAGTGGGCCTAGAGTTTTTAGTGTTTTGAAATTTGTGCTAGGAACTCTTAAAAATTTTACTTGTCTTGCCTGTGATATATGTTGGGAATAGTAAACTTTCTAAGTGGAAATGTACTTCTAACATGATGATTTTTGCCTTACAGAATTCAATTCGCCATAATCTGTCCCTACACAGCAAATTCATTCGTGTGCAGAATGAAGGAACTGGAAAAAGTTCTTGGTGGATGCTCAATCCAGAAGGAGGCAAGAGTGGAAAATCCCCCAGGAGAAGAGCTGCGTCCATGGACAACAACAGTAAATTTGCTAAGAGTCGAGGCCGAGCTGCCAAGAAAAAAGCATCCCTCCAGTCTGGCCAGGAAGGTGCTGGAGATAGCCCTGGGTCGCAGTTTTCCAAATGGCCTGCAAGCCCTGGCTCTCACAGCAACGATGACTTTGATAACTGGAGTACATTTCGCCCTCGAACTAGCTCAAATGCTAGTACTATCAGTGGAAGACTTTCCCCCATTATGACAGAACAAGATGATCTGGGAGATGGGGATGTGCATTCTCTAGTATACCCACCATCTGCTGCAAAGATGGCTTCTACTCTGCCCAGCCTGTCTGAAATAAGCAATCCTGAAAACATGGAAAACCTTTTGGATAATCTCAACCTTCTCTCATCCCCAACACCATTAACTGTTTCAACTCAGTCTTCACCTGGCAGCATGATGCAGCAGACAACATGTTACTCCTTTGCACCGCCAAATACCAGCCTGAATTCCCCCAGCCCCAACTACCAAAAATATACATATGGCCAATCCAGCATGAGCCCGCTGCCCCAGATGCCTATGCAAACACTTCAGGACAACAAATCTAGTTATGGAGGACTGAATCAGTATAACTGTGCCCCAGGACTCTTAAAGGAGTTACTTACTTCCGACTCTCCTCCTCATAATGACATTATGTCACCAGTTGATCCTGGGGTGGCTCAACCCAGTAGTCGCGTCCTGGGCCAGAATGTGATGATGGGCCCTAATTCAGTCATGCCAACGTATGGCAACCAGGCATCTCATAACAAAATGATGAATCCTAACTCTCATACTCATCCTGGACATGCCCAGCAAACATCTGCTGTTAATGGGCGTGCTCTGCCCCATGCAGTGAACACAATGCCTCATACCTCAGGTATGAGCCGCCTGACCCCAGTGAAGACACCGTTACAAGTGCCTCTTTCCCATCCCATGCAGATGAGTGCCCTGGGCTATTCTTCAGTGAGCAGCTGCAATGGCTATGGTAGGATGGGCATTCTCCACCAGGAGAAGCTCCCAAGTGACTTGGATGGCATGTTTATTGAGCGTTTGGACTGTGACATGGAGTCCATCATTCGGAACGACCTCATGGATGGAGATACCTTGGATTTTAACTTTGACAATGTGTTGCCCAACCAAAGCTTCTCACACAGTGTCAAGACGACGACACACAGCTGGGTGTCAGGCTAAGAGTTAGTGAGAAGGTAAGTTCACCCCAATATCAAAAGGCCTTTTGAAAGAAAGGTCTTTTTAAAAGAGAGGAGTAACTTGCTTGTGTCTTCCATGGTTAGCACTTTTTTGATGTCAACCTGCTGCCCCTTGCAAAGAGATATCTTTTGTTATTCATTCTTTCCCCTTTTTTGCAGCTTAGCAATTTTCCCTTTGAATTTAACTATACAGAAGCTTTCTCCAACTCCTTTAAATATTTTCTTTTGACAGTTAGTGGCTGGATCTTCTTAGTAGCTCTTCAGTAATGAATGTTTGATACAAATCAAATACTGAAGTTTTTTTTTTTTAATAAAAGTTTTGCTACTGAATGATTTTAAGCAAGGTCTAGCTTTCCCCCCTAAGTGTCTGTCACCCTCATTTGTTAAATTGAATTGGTTTTAATTTGGCTATGTTCTCATTGTGTATGTATGTTTTTCCCTAGGCTACAGAGTAATTCAGATTGTTTGACAGCAGGAACCGAGAGAAGCAGTCCAAAGATGTCCTTCATCTATCCTTTTGGTTTTCTTGATTAAAAAAAAAAAAAATCCTTCCTTTTTTTTCCTTTCGTCAGACTTGGCAGCAGAGATACTTTTCCTGTACAGGATGTTTGCCCAATGTTTGCAGGTTATGTGCTGCTGTAGATAAGGACTGTGCCATTGGAAATTTCTTTACAATGAAGTGCCAAACTCACTACACCATATACTGCAGAAAAGACTTTTGGATCCTGGTGTGCTTTCAAGTTTTGTATATATGCCGTAGATACAGAATTGTATTTGTGTGTTTTTGTTTTTTAAAATATCCATTTGGTCCAAGGAAAGTTTATACTCTTTTTGTAATACTGTGATCACGTCTTGATAAGTTAAACTTTTGTTTGTACTACCCGGGTTCTGCTGAAGGGATGAATCACAAAAAACTGAGATCTCTTACACCTCCACGGAGCAACTTTGGACCTGTTCACCTGCCACAGGATTCACATGAGAACCAAGTAGCCTGTTATCAATCTGCTGAGTTGATGGACTTGTAAAACTTTTGGAGAAAAAAATAGATTAAGCGCCAGCCTTGTATAGGTCTTTTCTATTTTTTTTTATTTTGTTTTTTGCAACGTTGTAAAAACACTTAAAATGGTTCTAATTTCCAGATAAATGATTTTTGATGTCATTGTTCAGACTTGAGATCATTTTTGGAATAGATATTGGACTATTGTAATGTTTTCTTAAAACCGAGTCTACTTTGTTACGTTGTCTGCTTGTAAATTTGTGAAATCACAGGTATTTGGGGGACAGCATTCATAATTTTCATTTTGTATTTCTAACTGGGTTAGTACTAATTTTCTATGTGCTTAACTGGTTTGTACACTTTGGGATGTTACTTGGTGGTGTTTCTGACTAATCTTAAATCATTGTAATTAGTACTTGCATACTCAACGTTTCTGGCCCTGTTGGGCAAGAAAGTGATGTATAGTTACGGACACATTGCATTTTGTATTTAGAAGAACTAAATAAGTTTTTATGTATGTATTTTAAGAAATCTCACCTGCTATTACCTTGTGAACTGTGTGCACTGCGTAGCATCTCCTCTGGTAGATAACTGTATGTTGCAGTGTTACAGTTATTCCTGGGAGGCCTCATAATGTTTGTAGATCAGAAAGGGAGACCTACATCTGAAACAATTCTCATCTGTCAAACTGGCAGTCTTGGTCAGTTTAACCATTTGAGTTGTGCTTTAGCAGAAGTTCCCCTAAAATCTGCACTCTTGCTTCAGATCAGGTTGGGGTTGCTTTTGCGACTCTGCCGTGAGGAATCACATCTCTCCTCATTCTCTGTCACTTTTTCTTCTGTCTTTCAAAGTTTAAGTTAAAGGAGGAAGTTTAGAAATGGAACTAAAGTGGTTTTAGAATGGTTTGTGCTCCTCAATGTAGGTGTCTATCGAGGGGACTAGAACTATTAAAAAATAGGGACAAATGATGTGAAAATGAACCAACCAGCTTTTAAGTTATAGATTAGAAGTGACTTTAAAAGCCTTAGCTTAGGTTAAGAATTTGAGTATTTCTTCAGCGTTTAGCAACTTATACTATACTGCGGTTGTTATATTTTAATACTTTACAGTTACTGTAACTAACAGATCAGGTTAGTTGGCTTTGACTCCTATTCACTCCATTAGTATTTCAGAGTCATGTGGAATGTCTGGGGTCACCAGAAAAGGAGGAACAGGAGATGCACAGCAGGGTTCTTGTGTCTTCTTGAGAAGGCTTTGCTTTCTCCGTGCACAGTCCAGATCACACTTACTTGTATGTTAACTGCATCTCTCTTCATGTGCTTTTCTCTGCATATGTAATAAGTAAGAACACAAGAGTTGCTGAAAGGCCAGCTGCAAGGTAAGCTTTTTACCATGACTCAGTATTTCACACACTTGTAGAGTGATCACCCCCTCTGACCATTTTCTTTGGGCATTCCAAAACATGGCTTAGTTTAGAAACCTGTTTTTCTGTAAGAAGTGTCTCCTGCATAATAGAAGTTGTTGATGTCAAAGAACTCATGTGCTCATTTCTGCCCCCATTTCTATTCTTGCACTTTTCTCTCATATTTACCATTGCTTCATTATTAGAGGAGGAGCCTCAGAGCTCCTATTCACTTATCACAGAGGCAACAAGAGCTGAAATCACCATTAAAATCTTACTCCTTCTAAAGTGCTTTGAAAGACCTTTCTTCCTTTTCAGCCTGTGTGAATTTTTCCCAACCCCCATTTTCCTTTGTGTTAAAATCCTAAATGAACCCTTAGTAGCTCTCTGGGGTACAGTGAAGTTGAGGGGAAGGCATCTATTTTGAAAACGAACATAATGTGGCCTCTGGGAGTTCTTTTTCTGTAAGAATACTGACTTTCTGGAGTAATTAGTATATTACTGTACATGATTGCTTTGTGAAATGTGCAAATGATATCACCTATGCAGCCTTGTTTATTTCCTCCAGTTTGTACTGTTATTAAAAGCATATTGTATTATAGAGCTATTCAGATATTTTAAATATAAAGATGTATTGTTTCCGTAATATAGATGTATGGAATATATTTAGGTAATAGATGCATTACCTGGAAAGTTCTACTTTGACAAACTGACAAAAATTCTAGGTTAATTAGCAGATGTTATATCCCAGTGAGCAGTAAATCAATGGAACATCCCAAGAAGAGGATAAAGACACTTAAAATAGAAACAGTTATCCAAAGGTATACAAGTTGGGCTTATTCAACTGTTGGGTCTATATTACCAATCTCCCCATATCGCCCCAAAACTTGAAATTCTTATTTTGAGCTCTTAAGAATGCCTAATTTATAACTGGTTTTAAGCGAGAAATTTCTCTTGTGGTTTTGGTTTGGGAATAATCATTCAGTAAAATGTGCAGTGTGTTTTATGCAAACAAAGCAGCCTGGCATTGTAACAGCCCCTCCTTGAGGGGGGGACCAGCCTGGCACTATGGCCAGGGATGGCCATGTAAGTCCCGTCAGGATAGTCATGCTCTCCCACATTTTGCCACCCGAGTTTAGTAACAGTGCAGATTCCATGTTCCTGTTCCAGTACTCTCTGAGAAGTGCCTGATGATGCTGATGTACTTACAGATACAAGAACAATCTTTGCTATAATTGTACAAAGCCATAAATGTATATAAATTATCTTTAAATGGTTTGGTGTCTTTTTTTTTCCTAATTGTTCCAAGTAGGCTCTTTACTGGGAATTTTTGTTTGTTCATATATCGAATACTTGTTGTCAACCACAGTATCATGGTTTATTCAAAACTGGTTATTTCCTTTGGATGAGAAGGGTAATAGTTCCTCTAGGATTAAACCATGCCCCCCCCCGAGATGAAGAGCAAGTACAATCTGTGTAACAAGCAGTCTTGGAGTATTTTATATTTAGAATATCTGAAATCTCATCTGGTCCAGTAATTGTGCAGCAACAGACAGCACAAGGTGAAATCATCTGAAAGCAAGTTTAGAAGTGTCCTGGATGTGGATGTACGATACCTTTCCAAGGACAGATAGGTTCCGGTCATGACTGCATTTCACAAGTTTCCCTCTGTTCTTTTCAGAAAACACCTGCAGAATGACCTAGGATTCCATTTGTGTAAATGGTAGTTTGTGTAAAATGTAGTTTAAAACAAAGCCAAAGCCCAGTCCTGCTTTCATCTGACTCTACCAGGCAAGCAAGTGACTGAGTTATAATAAGAAGAAAAAAGGTTGCTGTAATGTGTATCTGTTCAGACACCAGGTCAGTCAGCTTGCAGGGTTTTTCCCCCTCTTCCTGCAGTGGAATCTCATTTTAAAAATATAGTAACCAGAAGCTCAGTGCATACAACAGACAGAAACATGTACTCCTGGACTGATCTGAGGATTATGCACAGATCACTTTGAAAACTGCTCATCTAGTCCACATGCAGAAAAGTACCTTGATTATACAGCCAGAATTCAAACTGCTGGCTCTTTTCATGACCCTGTGGATATTTATAAAAAGTCATGTATCTAGTGGCATTACTTAAGACCAGTTCCCAACTTTTACATTACTCAGTAATAGTAACCCGTCAGGAGAGTCTGCCAAATCCCATGGCAAGAGCTTAGGGCTCAGCTCCTTAGGGGAGAGACTTCCGTGGACAGTATCTAGGCCCCCTGATGTGACCAGAGATGACAGGATCAGGATGTGTACCTAGGATTGTTTCTTGACCTGTGAATCGGCCACATGAGGACTTTGCCTTAGCTCTTGTTTTTCCATGTTTGAGATAACCTGTTAACAGTGACAGTGCTAGTTAACCTTATGTGGTTTTTGCGGTTAGGCTAGGTAGATGGGAGAGTTGAACCAAGAAACAAAGTGTCAGCCTCTAAAGTAGATATTGCCACGTGCTTGTTGAACCTCTTGATCCATAGTGCTTCTTACGGGGCCAGGGGCCTGTAGCCTGGCTGAAGCCTCTTAAAATGAGAGTATTCATGGTAGAATTTTTTATTACAGTTTTTGATTATTTTGGTATAAAAATGGCAACATACATGGACTCCAGGGTATTTTCAAGTTTAACTGGAAAATGGAAAGGAGATAGGTGTATGCAGAGTTGAAGAAAGAAGGGAGACACGGGCCTCAGGTAGTGGACGTACATCAGGAAGCCAGACATGAAATGGAGCCCACCAAGGCAAGAGCTGAAGGCTTGATCCTTTGACCAAAGAATGCTACAGCATGTTTGGGTACCTAGAAGTTAACTTCTGAGTTTTTTAAGCCGGCTGGCAGAGGAAGCTTTCTGTTCAGGTGCTTAGCTTTGGCGATATGACTATGACAGGAAGAAGCTCCATAGTGAGAAGGCATTTACCTGTTACAGGAAGAAAGGCAGAGTAGAGATTGGGGCCAGCTTCCTTAGACTTGGGCCAACTATTCTTAGCTTGATTAATGTCAGGACATGAATGCTATCCCCAAATACTGTCCATGAACTCAGGCTAAAAAGTTTCTGGCCATCATTAGTAGCTTTGTGTGTTCACATGTCCCCAGAATAAGTTTTTTTTTTTCTTTCTTTTTTTAATTGGAAACACTGATGAAGGAAGACTTCATTCTTCTTGGAGGAAAAAAAAAATCTTTGCAGTGGTTCTCATTCTTTCATGTATTCCATGAACTCCAGTCCCTGGATTAGCAGCTTTCAGAGTTCTCAACAGAAAAAAACTTGCAGGTGGCATATGTTGGTTTTTGTAGTCGTTAGAGTATCTGCAAACATCCTTGGGGGTGTGACTTTGCTGCCTAAGTGAGGTGACTTTGGATGAGGC